GCTATATCTATTAATCAACTACTCCATTAATATCATTTTAAACAGAATTTGAACTTAAAATTTATTCTAAAAGCATTGTCCCTTAATTAACTTCGTTAGCTGATAATTTTCTATTATTAAAAAGTGTTACGAAGCGACACATTAAAATCCTATTAAAGAAGAAGCAAATATCTCGCAAATTTAAAACATTTTCGTGACTGTGCTGCACAATTAATTTGCAAACTCGAAATACGCAGAAATAGATTCACAGATACATTGAACATTAATTGCGTAATTGTACCAAGAACAAATTTTATTTCCGAATAAATTTCGCTCGATACAAATCGCTAATCAATGAACCGTCAATGGCGCAACTGGAATCAGTCGCGTGTCAATTTTATGATGAAATATCCGAAATAAATGACAACGAGTATGGCAAGATTGTGGAATATTTAAATATCTTATTAAAAATGCTGGCACCATGGTAAAGGATACCGTGGTGTCGTCATTCCTCCTGGAGATAAAACAGAACCAGTTCTGTGGATTGTTGCTCGATGATAATTTCGGCTTTGAATACGACAGAAAGATAATCGTTATTTGTACGTAGATTTCAGAAGAATTTTATCACTTATTGGAGGAAACAAAAGAAATTTCCTGAAATCCCTCTTGGATGTTTATATTATTACAATTACATCATCGTTTACTTTTCGTCACTTCAAAATCGAATTCTCTAAATTTGAATCAATGATTATCTATTTCAGATTTAAAGAGAACTATACAATAAAGGAGCATATAGCCACAGTTAAAGATGTTTTTGTATATACAAATATTATGTGTTAACGTATTAATTCGAAATATATTACTTTATCTCTAAAGAAACATCTTTAGCTGTGACTATATGTTCCTTTACTGTATATTTATATTTTTAAGCCACCTTCAAAAAGTTTAAATTAAAGAGAATTGGCTGTGATTACAAATTAATAGTGTCTTAATCTTAAATCCAAGTTAAAACTCAAAAAGTTTATAATTCATCCATTTGATCTTGATTTTGAAAGTCATAATCAATAATTGGTTGGTAATCAACAATTATCACGTGTTTGATAAAAGAATGAGGTAGAATCTCTGCGTATAATGAAAGGAATATCACAAACAGGAATAAATGTTAGAAAAATAGAAAAATAGGAATAAATAATTAAACGTAACACACGACGGATTCACAAAATATAAGACATATTTCTATTTATCACGTTAAGGCCTGACGGTATGCAATTTTTATGTCTTCGGAAAGTTGGCAAAAAACTGGAATATTGTATAAGCAATCAATTTAGTGTATAATCGTGTACTGTGCATGATTGCGTATAACGAAATATCTTCCATTCTCATCTTCCTCGTTTAGAGAATTGCAAAACTGCAAATAAATGGCGAAGACATTCCTCTTGGCGGACATAACTGAGGACAAAAGTAAAAATGTCCCCGAGATAAATTTTCCGCAAGCGGATCTGGATAAGAGCGGATATATCTCGACTTGACGAGGCTACCATTGTTCTTCAAGCGTTTTCCAAACTATTCATGCACTTTCGTTAATCGTACCGTTATTATTATTGCAAAAACGAATATTATATTGCGATAATGTCGACGGTGCCCGGCGTTGTCGAAACGCGACGGCAATAACGACGGCAAACGATAATTCGCGCGCGCGAATCACGCGGGCTTTCCGTATCCCATCCCTCTCGTAAAACGGCCGTCGTATTGCGACAAGCCACGCGGCGTGTATAATTTACGGAGCATATTGATCGGGCCGTGATCCTCTTTCTTCGTGCTTTATCGCGCTTGCTCCGCAAGATAATTCGCGCGCGTCCAGCTGATCTTCGGCTGTGCCGGCATGTATGCAGAATGGTGTGCGAGATGAAAAAAAAAAAAGGTGGCCCCGGATTGACCAATATCCGGCGGCGGCCGGAACGCGGGGGATACGTTTGGAAACGAAGGCCTGGCCTGACTCGAACATTATATCCAAGCGCCACGCAATCGTGGCCTTATCTGTCTCCGTTTCTCCCTCCCTCCCTTCTTCTCTCTCTCTCTCTCTCTCTCTTTCTCTCGCTCACATTAGTAAAATTAGCATGCTTGAAATTTTAAATTGTCTACGTGCACCTGAACTTTTATTTCCTTTCTACATAAATTTTTCTTTTTCAATATTGTTTTGTATAAAAACACAATGTTTCCTTCTATTATTACATGATCAGCTTTGTACTGGTGTTTTTGCGCTTGAGGGGACTTGTCCCAGAGCGCTTAATAAATGATGCTTCTCTCTCTCTCTCTCTCTCTCTCTCTCTCTCTCTCTCTGTTTCTTTCTCCCTCCCTCTTTTATTTCGAAACATTAAGCAAGTACGGTTTATATACATGTTCGCGATACCTAAAGTCGTGTTGCACTTCGGAGAGTATATGTACGGAATATATATTGTAGAATCGACAATTTAGCGCGTACCTGTACATAGACACGTTTTAAAGCTAATTGTCAATTTTAGAAAATGAATTTGATCCTAAAGTTTTAAAAATTTAAACCGGATTGTAATGTCCGTGTTGCAATTACTTTAACCATGTTTTATAAAAGCTTTATACTTTCTGTGGCAAACATTCGTACATATAATAAGTAATATGAAAATGCATTTTGTAATATTAACGTCGTCTCTCGTTTTTTTATTTATAATTCATTTTGCAGAATACGTTATCTTGTATATAAAGAATAGATAAAATAACACGTTGACTTCACGTAAAAACGATTAACTCGTATTTCGGAATCTTAAATATAAACCCACAAATATATGCTCCTGATTCTTTAAATTTTTCAGTAATGACTTGTAAATCATTTTCCAACATTTCTCTGATGTATTCCCCCGTTAATACATTTTTTAAGTATCATTGCGAAAGAAACCATATAGAATTGCGTAAGCAACAAATGCAAAAATTACTTTGCAAAGAAGTACATGCATTTCCGCTGTAAATCAAATGCGATTTTTACACTTGTCGTTCGTACGATTTTATATACTTTTTTTCTACAGTGTGGGAGACCCGTCACGGTCATACGTGGGTGAAATTGCATGCCCTTATACGCGCAATTGTTTAAAGCGTGCCACCCGCGCGCAACGAGAAACGTTAAGGTAGGTCAAGGGCGCGTTGCACCGCGCCGGACGAGTCTCTCGCGAGATCTCACTTCTTTGGAGGATGCACGCGTTGAATTTTTTAAATCTTCTCTCAATCTTACCATCTTTGAAAAATCCCGGTGCATAGATATTCTAAATAAATCGGATCCTAAATTCTTGCTAATTATATAGATATCATTTCGATAAAGTTGTAATATTTGACAGTAAATAATTAATTAGGATAAATAATAAATAATAATAATAATAAATAATTAAGATAATTTTAATGTTTGAAAGTAAAGTCCTAAGGAATTTTCTTTTTATAATTAATAATCATTTTGAAACTGATTGAGAAAGATATTATTCATTTCCTTATTTTTAATTTATTTTTTATTATATTCATATGCATGTAATAAGGTTCAATGTCAGAGTTTAAAAAAAAAAAGATTTTTTTTTTCGTTCATTCATAAATATTCTATATAAACAATATATTTTATTTTTGTAAGTGAATAAAATAGAGAGATTTGATTCTCGCTTAGTTTATCTCAATATCCCCATAAATAGAATTAAAAATAAAACAAACTAAAATCAATTACAATGGATCGTATTCGGCGCAGGTATCTTATACGTTAAAACAGTTGATAAGAGGTTGATACGACCGCGTGTCGCGATTCGAAGAGTCCACGTATAATATTTACACATATCGGAGGGTACGACCAGTAGCGTCTCTCGCGACCGGATACCTCTGATCATACTTTATCCTTTTCGCGTAGATCGGCGTGTTTGCTTCCTCCGTAGAAAGATACAGATAAGATACGCATATCTCTTACGTACCTCGATGTTATTATTAGGCACCCATCTGTCGCTTCTGCGAATATTGGCTTTCCCAATTTCAGCCAGCCGTTCTTACGACAACGATCAGCCGCGTGCGCAATCGTGACACGTGCGGCGGCAACGTGTGATGTAACACTGTTCCCGTTTCCGGCGATTCAAGACACACTTCTGCACCCCATCGTCTCATTGACCTCCGTAAAGGTGACAAGTTTGGAATGGGAACATTGTTATGCAGATATTCCACGCACGTTGTGTCACTTTTATTAACTCAACAATTTATAAACATCTTAAGATCTGCCGGATTAAATTGAAGGCGCGAACGCGCAGGTTACTATTAACGTTTTAATAAACTTCTAGCAAGTATTAAATACCTTCAATTGCTTCAATTTAAAAAAAAAAAAACAGAAAATCGCCTTATGTCGCGTCGCTTGCACTTTTGATACTCGACTTCCTCTCTTTTTAAAGCAAAATATGTATCTATCTAATTTTAAGTGCAAAAACATTTGGGGATTTCACGCAACGCGAACAGATCTACTATAAGGCGATTTTCTGTTGTTTTTATATTCCTATTGGTGCATTAAAATATTAAAAATGTATCTTACACAAATTCATTACAAACGTTCTTAGAGCACTTTAATTGTTTAATGTGTCGAACGAGTGACTTCTAAATAACATCAATAACGCATGAATTGAATGCTCTCAATCGCTTCAATTTAAAACGATCTTAAAAAGTGAAAAATCGCCTTGGCGAGTGCAGCAAAAAAACGTTTCATACGCACTGTGCTTGCATTCGGATGTCCAGTATCGTTCCAATCGAATTAAAGAAAGAATCGCGATATCGGTGTATATCCGGTGTACGTATCCGTTCGGTACAATTGATATCGGCCGAAGTAAAATCGAACAAACACAAACGGTTACAGAAAAGACAGGATCCACGCGCGGCCTCGCCGGAACTGCCGGGACGACCGATGTTAGCCGAAGGCGCGCGTTCGCGTCTCTCCGTCTGGCTACGGCGCGGCCGAAGATTGCCGAAGTGCCGCTGCGCTCTCGGACGGTTACATTCGCGTTCCCTCGTCCATCAGCTCGCAGTTGTCAGCTGCACAATGGCGACGTTAGTTCGTATTCGTTCTTTCTGCTGCCGCCGTCGTTTCTGAGCGGTGGGCCGGCCCAAACGTTGGACCGTCCGTTGCGTGGATACCACGAGTCTCTCTCGCGCACGCTCTCTCTTTTTGTCTCTCTCTTTCTCTCTCTCTCTCTCTCTCTCTCTCTCTCTCTTTCTGTCTCTCTTAAGTCTCGTCCTCGAGAGCTCATCGCGGAGACAAGTATCAACGGCCGCGTTTCGGAAACGAAAGCAGCGAACCGGCGCATCGCGTCTACGTCGACGTGACGCAGAAGCCGTCGAGAAGTGAGCCAAGAAGACAAGGAGAAAGAGGAAGAAGAAGAAGAAGACTCTGAGGTCGATCGTAGCGATTAAGCTCGATCGCGGTGCCGCTCGCGGACGTCCAATCGTCTTAACCAACCTACTTACCCCACCGATTCAGGAACGACGCACGGCGACAATTACGAAGGAAAATAAAAACACGAAGGTAAAGTTCTGTCTCCGTTACGTCGATGAGGAAAAAAAAAAAAAAAAGACGAAGAAATCCCCCGAAAGGGAGTCGAGTGTGTGTAACCTACCCCCCGACTCGCAGGAAACGCGCTATCGACCGTGGAATACTACCGGGGGGGATGCCTTCGCGTTTCACGGGGTGGCAAACGAACAGCGCGACACCCCTCCCCTCTCCCTTCCCCCAAGTGCTTGTGTGTACGTCGTCCTCGTCGTCGTCTGGCCGCGCGTGTACACGATCAGTGCAAAGTGCAGTGCTGCCTATTGCATCGACGCTATCGCGAACGTCTGTTCTTTCGTCGCCTCCGGCGTATCTGCCGGACCTTATTTTCGAAAAGTATCGAATACGAAAATACTGTAATATTACGGGAAATCTGTAATATTACGTGGCGTACTCTCTCTAAATTCTTTGGAGTAGAATCTCACTTTAAAGGAGCATTAAGCCGGTCTTGGAAAAGCGTGAAGCTCGAGCCTTTAAAGTGACCAGTTGCAGATTAATCGTTTGATTGAAAATTGAGCCGGTGTTGAAAAAGAGCGAGGCTCAATTCAGCCTTTAAAGTGGCGTCTACCATGAGATTTTAAGGCGTAAAACGGCTAAGCCTGAAAAATCCTAAGGAATTAATTGATCACAGTTGTGAGGAAAATAATAGACTCTGTGATTGGTTAATTCCTTACGGCTTAAGCTTCAAATTTGCGCCCTAAAGTCTCATTGCAGACGCCGCTGAAGAGTGAGATTAAGCAACAGTTTAAGAGAGTAACGCTGTAATATTTCCGTAACATTTCGCCTACTCTGCGGTTCCTACGCGATCGCGTTTCCGTCGTCGCGCTACTCTTTCGTGGCATCGAAAGCCAATTAAATGACGGAACTGCAACAGTCGCAGTTCCCGGGAAAGTATTCACCAGACGGATAAGCGAACAATAGTAATTTACAACAATCATTGTTTGATTAACTCATACAGCACAAATCGTTTCAATGATATTGAAAGAACATTGCAAACGTTGCAGCAATGTTGCTGCAAGTTTCCGTGACGTATGGCAAGCAAAGCTAATGTTACACATTATTGTGACTTCTCATCGTTAACGTTGTAAATTAATTAAAGTTGGATAATTGTGCCGGTTAATGTCGCAATTCAATGTGGCATCGCTAATTTTATTAATTCAAATTGATACTTTGGAATATTTCCAGGATTTTCAGAAAGTCGATCAAAAGTTAAAGTCACGCTCTCGTTGAATAATGATTCCACAAACATGCATCGCAATCATTTCCTGATAAGACTCGGAAGTATGATATCATTAGAAAAACCGAGAAATTCGTATGAATTCGAATGTGCTGTTAAGTACACGTTTGCGCGTAATTACGGTTATTAAGTACATTAGAATAAGAATCGTCTCTTGAAACTTTTATCAAGTTTCTCACTTGAAAGACTCTCTCTCGAGCCTTCAGTCGAGTTCCTTTGGCTTTCGTTTAGGAAATATTTGGATTTGCAACCTTGACGTTTGTCGCACGGGCAATGTTTTTTTTTTCTCTCTCCTTCCGTTATTTATTTCCACTGATTATGAGTCAGCGTACGCTCGCGTTGAATGAGCGTGTTTACGTTGAATGAGCGATTTGACGCAGGCATTAAAACCGGTACGATCGCAGGCGAGTTTACATTCCGTGAGACACCACTGGCGATATGCAAACAATCTGAACTGTTTGTTCCCGACAAAAGCCGAACGTGACAGCTGATGCGAGATCCATCTTTCTCAATCTTGTAGCGAATTCGATTCGACACACTCGGTGGGTATAAACTTTTGCATAATGGCGTTTTCGGCCCGACCGGATTTTGGCTTTGCACTACCAGGGTTGAATTAATGACGTTGTGCTCTCCTATTATATAATAGAGCGTATAAACAGTAGCAAAGCCTTTTCCAACTCAGTTGAATGCAAACGCTACTAGTATACTACTAGATTAAGCTAAAGCTCTCTTTTGAAGAGTGACTCCAATTTTTATGTACGCGTGCGGAGATGCTTGTATATGAGTTAGCAGTCTCTCTCTCTCTCTCTCTCTCTCTCTCTCTCTCTCTCTCTCTCTCTCTCTTTTTTCTCCTGGATGAATTTCCGACCCGCAATGGTCACAATACTATGAATTAAAGAATCTAGTAGTATCTACAAAATACAGCAGTCGGACGTAATACCGATATGCGCGTATTAAGGACGTATACAAATTGACGTAAAAATGTGTGTTTAACGTAAATAAAAACCGTTCTTCCTCACCACACTTTATTGTGTGTTGTTACATAAAACATGTATTCAAAATATTTGCATTTCATTTTTACACTCAGATTAAATCAGCGTATAACGGTTTTAATATGCATCAGATACCCAGAAGTTTTGAAGTTAATTACTTTTTCATTTTCTCCAAGTACCACATAACGGTGACTAATGATAAATATTGAGCGCGCATTAGCGCGTCCAATCGAATTCGCGCCATTTGACGCCGGAAATTGCACTTCTCTCGGGAGGGCGGCGAGGGGCGAGGGGCGGGGGGGGAGGGAGGGAGGGAGGCGGAATAACGACGATTTCTCTGAATCGAACAATCCGCGAGATGAAATCGAGGATGCTCCGATAGATTGAGAAGGGGGAGGGGAAATTTCGCGTCGGGGTCGTCCGGCCCCCGACATCGACGCGCGGTCATTTTTACAATGTAAACGAGAGCGCGGCGAAGCTGTTAGGCAATTTACATATTTCGCGAGCTTGCGTCACGTTCGGTTGCGCGCTATTAATGCAAACGGTGCCCGCAATATCGTCCCTCGTGCACGAGCGCGACGATCGTGGAATTCTCCGCCATTTTGACCTTACCGAAGGATATCTGGTATCTCTGTAGCGTGTGTGTGTGTGTGTGTGTGTGTGCGTGTGCGTGTGCGTGTGCGTGTGCGTGCGTGCGTGTGCGTTGTGTGTGCGGCCGTTATGTGTGGGTCGGCTGGTAATATCGCGAGTGTCGTTTCGACACACGCGGCGATGGCGACGGCGATGGCGACGGCGGCGGCGAACGCAACACTTTACTAATTCCGAACTTGCGATTTCGTCAGATACGCGCATTTCATTTACAGGAACGGACGGGGAAGGGGGGAGGGGTGGGGGGGGAGGTGGGGTAGACCTCGACAGTGCCCCGAGGAATCCGCGCACCTGCCGGCTAAATCGTCTCACGAGACCGTCTCTCGACTCGCCGGACTCCGTGGATTCGATTCTCTCGCAATGATTTTATCGAAGACTTCAAATTCTGTTGCAAGCGGCTTACCTCCTATTAATTCGTATTAATCTTGGCTGCGTTCAGAAATTTCACCTCGGATGCACCCAGGTATTATTTTTATCCTTGTTTATTCGATGAACAACAGGGATCAAATGATATCTGGGTGCACCAAAGTAAAGTTTCTGAATGCAGTCCTTTAATGGATAGGCTGCAGCAGCAGCCTCAAGCCGGAGCAGAAAACTTTGTATAACGCATGAAGGAGAAAATCAATCGGAATCTTTCATTTCATGAAAAGCAAGGAAATGACGAACTTCTGATTGATTCATTTTCTTATGTATTATTGGGTTATGCAAGATTCTGCGCTCTCGCTCTTAGTTTTCTTGGAAAACTTGTCTAAGGAAAATAAAAGATACCGTTCAGATACCTTGAAGTCCATTACTTTTACCATTTCAACACTGAAAAACATGACGTTATATCAAATCAACAGCAGTATTCTAATTGAAAATACTTTTGTCAATTCAATTACACTATTAATAAAGTAAATATACCGCATGTTCTTTTTTTAATAAAATTTTATTTGTTTCATTAATACTGTTATTGAAAATAATCAACGAGATTATTTTTAAATAAAATAATACAATGCTATTTTTTTCAGTACGTAATATTTCCAATATGTAACTGAAGTTTTAATCATGACATAATATAATAATAAAAAATATAATTATAAAATTAAAATTTTTTTTGGGAAAAAAGCATTCCGAGCATTTCTCTTGCCAACACTTTTATATCTTTAATGCTGATTTTTTTGACGATTTCGAAAATTCGAATTATTTCCAAACTTGGAACCTTTGAAGTTGTCAAAAGTAACAGCCCTAATCTTTATTTCCCTTACGTAAAGATTAAAAAAGGAATTATATAAAGATTTATCGATCTTATATAAGGGCGAGGATGTAACAGAGTAGATTAAAAGATATTACGCGATACTTATTTTATATATCGAAAGACATGTATGTGGTAAGGGAAATGAATACATTGCGTGGAAAAAAAGTCATAGAAAGGTCAGCGCCGTTACTTCTATTCACGCACAACGAATTTGAATTCGTGTAGCTTAATACACAATAAAGATTACATCATTTTCTTTGAAGGAAATGATGTAATATTTATTGTGTATCAGTCTCTTCGTGTATTATTGACTGTATCGATAGCTTTTCACGCACTCTCTTTTGATGGACGTAATGCCTATATTACACTAACGATTGGAAATTGCGTTTGCATTTGCATCTCTTGACCAATCAAAAAGGAACTGCTGGTCTGAAGCAGCTTTTTTTTATCGATCGAGTTGACGCAAACGCGAACGCAATTCTCCAAGGTGTGATACGGGTATAAGATTACTCGTTTCGATCACCACCAACTGAACTCTATTGCGCACTGAAAAGCTCACACAAGGGGAAGGAATCCTGCTTAACAAGAGCGAGTCGAGAGAGATAGTCAACGAGAATATTGTTTGTATTTTCTCAGTCTTGCCTGTATTATACGTATTGGGTTCAATACAGAAGTACGTAGTACGTTAGAAAAACAAAGAGCGCGATCCCCTGCTAAGTGTTCTTTGTTGGCTTGCTGCTTTCACAGTGGCTTTGTCGGCTTTCACAGTGGTGAGTTTTCCATATGTTATAGGGGGTTCACTGCTCGCCACCTGGGGTGCGTTTCAGGGGTATTATCATTTTATCCTTGTTCATCGAATGTTAAA